CGATTTTTATCTCCCATTTCATAACTGTGAATTACCTGAATTTCGCTACTGCTGATTTACTGTTTATCTGCGGCTAGGGGAAAGAAAAAGCACTAGACCTTTGGTTACCATACTGGGGTCATATTGCCAGTTACGTTCGGTCCTCTTGATGAAAATAAATGAATGGATGAACATGTTACGTTAATGGTTTTTCCTCAATTCCTCCATATACTGCTTTAACACGAATATCCTCAATAACCTGAAGATCGTTAGAAGCTAAATCCTTTCACTTCCAAGGGTCTCGTCTCCTTTCACCTTTATCATCGAGACCATTATAACTTCTATCGCTGTTCTTAGTATGCATATCAACCCATACTATGCAACAGAGTTGAGAGCAAATATTAAATTCGCTGATGATAAGTAGGCATCAACGGGTGATCGATCTCCTTACGTTATCGTCTCAGTTCTCTGAAATAACTAGTTTATGACGTTTAATTTACTTTAATTAGGGCATAATTTAAATTATGGTACTCTCATGTCCAACTTAATTAATGTAATATTTACAGTGCTTTATTTCATATCAGTCTTTATCGATCCACTGCTGGATAAAACACCTCTCCAAGACTGTGCCATGGAGTTCTGTTTTTTTGTCAGTTTTATCCTTCTTGGTCCATCGAACTTTCTCAGCTCATCGTGTCATCAATCTGAAGGCCTTCCTACGGACCGTTTACTCTCTCCCAAAAGCGTCAAAGCATTCCGTAACAGTCATCGAAGTCTTATTGCATTAATTTTGACATTCAGAATGTTTTGTTGAAGTGGTTCAAACGAAGAACCTGCGTTGCATTCTTCAAGATAGTGTAATTCTAGCCAGAATCAAGGAATGATCACGCGAAGAAGCTAAGGCAGAAAAAAGTGTAGTGGACCTGCCAAAATAGACACTGTAAGCAACATAACCGGATGTCTTTTGGAACTGGATAAGATGCAGTACGCTGATTGTAAACAAGAGCTCTTTCGATTCTTTCGACCGCTGGTTCTTCATAAATGAGGTACAGATGAACTCACATTTTTCAAGCATACGCTAGCATAACGAAAATCACATCGTAGACTGCAAAAACTATCTGCGCCAAGTGTGTGTTTACAAGATAGGAGAAAACGACGAAATGACTATGGCGATTGGCAAATAATCCAGAGTGACAAAAGACTTTTACCGAGGCAGAAACAGTCATCAGAAAATCTGATCTTTATGCAGTAAAGGACGCTTGGAGGAACGTGCCGAAAAACGAACGATGAGACACTCTGTGGTGTCTGTCGCGTGCCAAAATGCTGATGTCTAAAACGTACTTCAAGTTAGATGAGCAAGAAAAATTTGTCGTTTTGCAAGCAGGCGTACAACGGGATCTGAAACAACGGTAACTGGGTGATCCTTCTTCGTGATCAACACAGATCACTGCTGCCTAGTCTCGATGCACAAATTCCTAAGTGTCATGCGATGTGCCAACACAAGCTTCCATGAATCTGCTTTTTAACTTATGGACCCGTGCACAAGTTGAGGATTTCCTATTGGGCGCACGTCCTTTTGCCATTCGTCCTCAGCCAAATTTCATAGGTGTCGCGTGAGTGTTATGTGACTCTTGGTTCACTTGGAATTTCCCCTCGGTAAGCTGGAGCGCAGCCACTTCTTTACCGACGGTTTCCCTATGGGGGAGCGCGCCTCAAGTTTCCTAGTAAAATCTGAAATTTACACTGACGGTAAATCATAAGTAAGACTTCGCTGATCTCGGGGAGGAAGGAGGGGGCGGGGTGGAGGCTTACGGTCACACAGCTGTGAACGTGAGGCAGAACGAAGTTGAACAAACAAAAACCATGAACCGTTTTAGGACCAGGACGCAACTTCCTCGGTGGCTACGAGGGAGCTACTTCAACAGCCAAGATGACCCTTTCGACATCTTGCAGGACATCGCAGGATTTTGGCCGTCAAATGAATAGCCGAGCTGTTGCCGGATAAAAGTGTTATTTCGAACGGCAGGGAGAACAATACACAAGATTTGACAAATGCGACAGAGGTCGAAAATCCTGACCACAAAGTTGCTACCGACCATAAAGAATATAATATACAATCATATCATTCCATTACGCGTTTGGACAACGCCGGATCTTCAGCGATCAACATGAATTCGACTAGTTGGATTTTGTAGGAGAATTAACTGAGGAACAAGTTTCAGGTTTCGCCTGCCTTCTTCTCTTCCTCAAGCATTCTCTAACTGATGCCGTTAGCCTCACAGGTTAATCAATCAAATATAAGACGATAGAGTTGCAACGAGCACCGTTCAGTCATCAAACTAGGCCATAAGATGCGCTGTTGGGAGAATTTCGGTTTTTTGTATCGCGTTCGCGAGCGCAAAACGTACGGCAGAAGGAAGCATGGGTGTCGGGTATCGAACGGCACGAATCACGAACAACCAGCAACAGGCTATTCCCCATGACCTATCCGTCGCACATGAGCGACGATGAAAAATGGCTAAAAACATAGAACAGTTTGACGAATGCCTCGTCTCGCTTCGCCCGTCGTTTGATGACTCTGGTGACCTTATTCATCGTTCGGGACGATGGCCATTTCTGTGCTTTACCCGACCGTGATAACGACAAGAGTCATACACAAAAACACAAGGTCGAAAGAAGCAAAACAACGAACGATGAATCATGCTACAGGAGAAAAAACTAATGCCACAAAACGAAGGAGGGCGAAACTCTAAGTTTCGACTTGCTTTACAAACCGAACAAGATGCACAATGCGATTCAATTCATCATCAGATGTGTTTATACAAAGGATTACATTTCACAACCCAGTATCGGCGACTGCCGCAAGCCACGGAACGATCACAGAAACGTCTGTGCACCGAGGAAAATAAAACACTATTAATTCTTATCCATAAAATATACTACATTGTGCATATGCGTACACGCTCCATGTGTTTTATATACGCAATACAGCTTTGCATTACATGCTATAGTTATACTATATATGTCCCATACATATATGCACTATCTAGTATACATACAATGAGTTCAGTATGCATAATATCCAATAGACGACATAATACGCAATAAACAGACTAGACCAGACTGGTACAGGCTGAAAGTAATTCGCGCTTCAGTCCAGACCGGTAATGCGAGGTTTTCACCGCATACTGCCCAACCTAAGCCTCTGCATAAATTGAAACATGCAGATAGCAACGCTAACGCTTAGGTAAAAGGGTAAGCTTGGAAATAATCCATTAACATCGTTGCGCTACCACCATTTACTAAACCGCCAATCAGCTTCAGTCATTACCGGCAGGGACGAATTACCACTTCTGAGATAACATACACAACACAGTATTATTTCGTACTTTGGGTATTCATAGTATGCAACAAGTATCTGGTGCATGCATACCGTTTATACTCTGCAGTGTATACGTGCTAACGCCCAGAGTGGTAATCCGCCATACTGGTATGGAATGAAACTGATTTATGGTAATATAGCGTTTTACTCGATAATTACTAAGCCGCTGCATGGTTGCTTGCACGACGACAGAGATTTAGACAATAATGCGGTAAAAACTAAACATTACTACTCTGGACTTAAAAGCAAATTAGTTTCAGTACAGTACCTTCGGTATGGACGGTTTACGTGTATATGTTAAATGTGCAGCTTCAGGAAAACACAAACAAGTTTGAAATCGAAAAGGGCGTTCGATACACAGACGCAACACCACTGAACTTACTCACAACAGCTCTAGAAGAGGTTTTCAAGATATTGCGTTGGAAAAATCAACGATTGCACATAAACAGAAACTACTTAATGCGACCTGCAGTTCGTGGACACCATTTACATCCTTCTGAGTCACTAGAATGACTCCGAAAAAAGTCCAAGTGCCGAACGACGCCAGCATCAAAGTACAACTGAAAATGAACCTCAAGAAGATTCAGGTCATGTTCGACAATTACGTGACAACATCACCTGCTGAAATCAACGGACTCAGAATTTAAGAGGTGCAAAACTAGGCGTGTCCACGAAGCTGATCTCGAGAACGGAGAACCAACTGTATGAAATCAATTGAGGAATAAAAATAAAACTGAAGTATGGAGCAAATAACATAGAGCACTTTCAGAAAACTTAAAATAATCCTATCCGAGAAGCTGCATTGTGCCTGAAACAAAAATTACTGGATTGGAGTGTGTTTTCGCTGCTAACATATTCATGTGAAATGTGGGTCCCAAGCCTGAAAGATATTCGTGAACTGCAATCTACAAAATGAAGCATGAATAGATGTACGCTGGGAATAACAAGGAAAAATAAGAAGTGGAATGAGTGGATTGGAGCAAACAAGAGTCTGTGATATCATTGCCCAAGTGAAAAAGTTACAGTGGCAATAGGCGGAATATGTTGCAAGAAGAACTGATTATCGCTGGAGCAGAGAGAAATTAGACTGGATTTCCAGAGGAAGTGCAACCCATGTAGTAACACCTCCAGATCAATAATAACAGGATGAAAGTGAAGAAGTTCACTGGGTGAAAATGACAGGAAAGAGAAGTCTATGGCAAAGTCCTGCAAAGGCCTTCATTCAGCAACGGATCGACAAACAAAGAGCTGCTGATGACGCCGATCAGCACTAACAACTCCTGTGAAGCCAAAGGTCACGGTTTACTTCATCGTCCCATAGCAGTATGTGGCCATTCAAATGAACGGCACGAAGCCGATGGTCCCGTTAGTATTACCCTTGTGCTCCCGAAGACTACTGGCACAATGAATTAAAACTTCGACGGACCGCTGAAAAAATCTATCGATCAAAGTAAACTGTGCTCGAACAAAGAAATGGTTTTTGGAAACTTGATGTGTAGCACTAGGGGGGCAATTAGAGCGCCGTCGTCTACGGTCACTTCTGAAGCAAAGCAGTTCATGAAAAATGCCATCCATATTACGATCATAAATTGCACAGGATTGTCAAAGGAAGCACTCGAAAAAAAGCAGTAGGATGAGGTTGGAATTTTGAAGCGAGTTGATAAAAATCGCTCGCTCTACCTCACATCGTAACAGGAAAAAGCATGAGTGCACATCAGTCAAGTAAAACCAGGAGAAACATCGCCTGCGTACAGCCGCAAAACCAGGTGCTTGGGAAGTGGGGCTTAACGGCTTTGACGTAGGTCGAAAAAACGTCGACTGCCCATCAGCATTAAAAGTCAAGGGGAAGATGATTGGAACCGAACGGTAAATTGAAAAATGAAAGGCGCGCGATAAAATTCAAAAAAAAATTGCCTGGCCGAAATGAACGTTTTATTTAAATGAAATGCGCGCCTGTCGTCTTTCCTCTTTTGGCAGTTGTCAAGTGATGCCTTTTAGAAGATTAGAGATTTCTTTGGCTTTTAACAGCTACTGTCAAAACGAAGTGCACGGGTCGACGGCATAGAAAGGCTAAAAAGAAGAGAAAAAATAAGGTCTGCAACGGCGTTGCCTAGTAAATGAGCTTATCGGCAAACTGATCATGATGACCACGCAAACTGGCCTTTAGTTAGTGTACAGTCAAGTGAGCACGAAGCGAAGCGAACGCACTTCGATTCCGATCCGATTGGACGAATCGGACGACAAACAGACATACGGCAGTCGTTTACTTTTTCGTACTACAAAATTCTGGCCAAGGAAAACAGAGCAAGACAAACGGGCGGACGGATGCGTCGCTGTGCAAACGGTGAACGGTGGCTAAAGCGTCGCCATATTGGTCGCAAAAGGCAGGGCCGACAAGGGCAACCAACTATGAAAAACGAGAAACCCCCGAAGTCTGTAGCGATGGAACAAACGAGTTTAAACAGCGAATCGTTCAGGAGGTTTCATTAAACTGGAAAGATCCGCGTGAAACGATTTGACATGAAAATAGACTACTCGATGACGTGGCCCATACTTAATAGAGTGTTTTACTTCACTCTAGAGTACGCGTATTCGACGGGTGATTATTAACGTAGTAACTAGAGCAATCACCAATTACTTCCGCCACTGAGGAGTTTGTGAAGACATCCGTAGCGTAGTAAAGCGGTGTGACGAGTGACTTGCAGGACAATAGGTTGGTTGTCATTATGTACTTTGTGTCTGCATGAAAGTACAATAAGGCAGTCAAATGATTCCGATATGCGGAAACGCCGGGTACGTGATCAATGACCATCACTGCCTTCCGGGGAAAACAGCTATTTTTAATGTCGACGGATCAACGTCGGATGGTTACCTTTCACTGGATGACAATGCCCATCGTTCACAATGTGATAGCATACGTGAACGAAGTCGACCGACCGTCTCGAGGTTCATGACCGGCCTTCATCGACTCCATAGCTGTCAAAGAGGTACACGCCTCACCGGGCCTCACCTGTCACGCAGTCCATCATCTGGCCCGTTATGCTGCGCTCCCGCAATGAGGAGAACTAGGGTCGGGTTCAGGAAACTGAATAAAAACGGTTCTTATTCGATAAAAAAGAACATCCTAAATGACTTGGATAGTCAAGAACTCAAAAAAAATTTACCCTCATAATGAAGTGAAACTTGTACCTCGCATCGTTATCTCCCTTGTCTCACGAAGCACAAACATATTTTTGTTTATGGGGAAGCATACAAATAATATCAGCTCCTGAAACATCTTGTAACGAACGCGATGCGGTGTGCACAAACAAAATAATCTGAGAGGCACCCGGCATTGCAGGTTCTCAAATGCCATGGAGCCAAGGCCTACTTAAATGTCTGCCTACCCACCAGGAGCAAGGATTGGTGAAATACGGAGTGAAATCTGACCTTGGAGGAGTTGTGCATCATATTAATCATCAACAATTTATAGTGCCTATCTGCAATTTGACGAAACCGTGTGAAAGAAGGCATATAGTAATCTAACCAAAACATACCCTAGGCCTGCAAGGCAATCGAAAGATACTTTAGCAACATAGAGGAGGTCAGAGTCTACTACGAGAATGGAATGAGTTAAGGAATGCTTCTATTCAACAAGTATACCCCCAAAAACCCGGGGAAACGTTAAATATAGTTTACAACATGGAGAGTTCACTGCGATAAGATATACATTGGAAAGATCTACGTAAAACTGAATATTCTGATTAAAGAACACTTATGTACAATCCACCCACGGTATGAGAATTATT